AGCACTAGATAACTGGTAATATTTGGCAATGCTAACAAGAACTTCAAAACCCATACACCTAGTTGCAAAAGCCAGGCTCACTACGATCAGGCAAATGATTTTTGCAACCCTGTGCTGTAGCATACTCAGTCACTTGGCTACAACAACCCTGTGTTGTAGTAAAATGCCCTCTAAATGGTTTGAATATGGAACAGTAAAAGAGACTGTAACACAGCACCAGAAAAGAAGTAGGATAAAATGCTGCCAGATCTTGAATTGCTTAGTCATCATCCAACTCAAATCACTTCATTTAACTCCAACTCTTCAGATGAGTAGTACACAAACTCAATCAAGGAGGCCATGGCCCTGAATTTTCAGGATCTGAATGGAGCTGTTATTAACAATGTCTCCTAGTGGTCTCTCATTCATTCATTAATTCATTCTGTAAAGTAATGATTGCCTTGATGGCAAATTACAACAAATTATTAATCAGAACTCTTGAACCAAAAGGATAACAAAGAGACAGTCAGCATTCAGCAGGTTCCTGGAATGCCTCAAACAGAATGCATAACAATGCATAGCCTTCGACAATACGTAGAATGCATAACAGCTCTTGCACAGAGCACGTTGCTATTTACTTCAGGATCTACTTTCAGCTACATTTATATGCCATCTTTTCTCCAAAGATCTCAAGGCAGAGTTCTGAGTTGTCCTCCTTCCCATTTTATCATTACAAGCACCGTTGAAGGAAGTGTGGCTTCAAGAATGTGTGATTATTTCAAAGTAATCCTATGGTTTTCGTGGATGTTCTAAACCACAAGGAGAAACAGACAAGAATACTATTCTGAATGACATGTAGCCACCTTCTTTTCTGCAGTCAGCCCAAGAAAACAAGTAAAGTAGGCAGGTTAATCAGTTGTAAAGGTTTTCCCCTGACATTAAGTGTAGTCGTATCCAACCCTAGGAGGTTGGTGCTCATCTCCATTTCTAAGCCGAATAGCCAGCATTGTCCATAGACATCTCTAAGGTCATGTGGCCAGCATGACTGCATGGCGTGCCATTACCTTCACGTCAAAGTGGTACCTATTGATCTACTCACATTTGCATGTTTCTGAACTGCTAGGTCGGCAGAAGCTGGGCTTAACAGCAGGAGCTTACCCCGCTCCCCAGATTCGAACTGACAATCTTACCAGTCAGCAAGTTCAGCAGCTCAGTGGTTTAACCCACTGCGCAACTGGTCTTCAGTTGTAGAAGACCTTAAAATCAGTGCTTTGCAAACAGTGGTTCCAAATCAAAAGATCATTAAAATACATTCCCAACTGGGTTACTCTATGAGGCTATTTCTTTTAATTTCTGGGTGTTTCTTTTCCTTTCCCACAGCAATACAGCAATGTTACAACTTTTAAAAGCCACTGTCCCTCAGTGTCACCATAAAATAGGCAGACATTTCATGCAGATGCGTACTACCAACATACGTCTATATTAACAAAAAAAAAATTTTTTTTTAATAGAATATAAAACGTGTATGATTTTTTGCACTTCCTATCCACTGTAGAGGAAACTAATTTACACATTCAACATAGTGACCATAAATGAAAGGCAGAGCCAAAGATGTAAACAGCACCAGCTGGGAGTGGTTCCAAACCACTCCAATTGGGTACATTTAGAAGGATTAATCAAGTACATAAGCCCTTAGAGAAGGACAGTACAATCCTGACACAGAGTTGCATGACGTGCATTCCCAACTAAGGGGTAATTGTGAGGTGCCTTGTATTTAAAATAGCTGGGACAGAAAGATTTGATAGAGTCAATTTGCATCTACATTAAGGGCTTCATGTTAGGATTCCTCTGAAATAAGGGAATGTGCTAGTATCCTATAGCAGTGCTCTCTGGGGACTAGCATCACATGGCACCACATGACAACGCCTCCTCCTTTCTTTCCTGGAAATTAACTGTGAACCAGCAGTGGATAGGATATAGACTGGCACCAGTCCATGGACCTCCCCTCTCTCACAGAATATGTGGCTCACGGACTTTAAGAGGCGTAGCTTACAATAACTCAGATCCTATATGAAGAAATATGTTTTCAGTTGAATTCGGGACTAATGACTCATGATTAGTTGATTGGCTTATTATTGCACAAGCATTCTTTCCTATCACGGGTGCTGTATTTATTATTATTATTATTATTATTATTATTATTATTATTATTACAAAACAGCTTCTCTGAAACTGCTAGGATGTAACAAACTAAAATTTGAGTTGCTGCAAGTTTTCTGGACTGTATGGCCATGTTTCAGAAGCATTCTCTTCTGATGTTTTGCCCACATCTATGGAAGGCATCCTCAGATGGTGTGAAACTAAAATCTCCCTGCATGATCCAGTATAGACACAAGAAGGTCAGAAGCATGCATCCTCCTTTTAACCAATCACAGTTAGTATTCGAAATGACTACAGGCTTGTTCCAAATTAATCACAACAACAGTTTACTAACACACACCAACAGCGTCAGAAACTGGAATTCAATTCTGGCTTGTTTTGTAAAGTTGATGTTACAACTAAGCAGTTTGTCCAAGTTAAGACGCAATGCAAAACTGCTGTTAGCTGACAATGGAAGGAAATGCTTCCTGTCTAAGGAGAGGAATGAACACACAAACCCAACCATGGTGCGAGAACAATACATAATAACAAATTAGATCTACAGCCCCCCCCCCCCCCAAATGATAGTTAATGTGTCAGCACTGCAATAAACAAATCTATTCATTTTTATCCTGCCCTTCTCACCCCGCAGGGGATTAAGAGCAGCGTACAACATGCTTCTAAGCAAAAATCCAATGTCTCATTATACAAACCAAATAAAACATAACATAAAATCACTAGAAACAATAGAGCGTGCTTGCTCCATCAATCTTCAACATTTACACAAATGACCAGCAACTGCCAGAAGGGACATAGAGTTTCATCTATGCAGATGATCGTGCCATTACCGCTCAAGCAGGGAGCTTTGAAATGGTTGAACAAAAGCTCTCCGAAGCTCTAGGTGTTCTTACTGCCTATTACAGAGAAAACCAACTGATCCCTAATCCATCTAAAACACAATGTGCTTTTCACCTCAAGAACAGACAAGCATCCCAAGCTCTGAGGATTACCTGGGAAGGAATCCCACTGGAGCATTGCAGCACACCCAAATACCTGGGAGTTACTCTGGACCGTTCTCTGACCTACAAGAAGCACTGCCTGAATATCAAGCAAAAAGTGGGTGCTAGAAATAATATCATACGAAAGCTGACTGGCACAACTTGGGGATCACAACCAGACACAGTGAAGACATCTGCCCTTGCGCTATGCTACTCTGCTGCTGAGTATGCATGCCCAGTGTCACATGCACAATGGAGGACCTTCTTGCGGCAACATCAGAGGCACTCCAAGTGGCCAGCTACTGGTCAAAGGACATTTAATCAACTACCAAGCTTGCAAACTTGGAGGTTTTGTTTGTCTGCTTGTTTGTTTGTTAAAAAATGCAATGCACCTGTCTTATCTGCCCCTGACACGATAAATAAAATACTAGAAACAATAGACATTTAGGGCGATTAAAATAATCAAGGGTCTGGAAAACAAGCCCTATGAGGAACGGTTTAAAGAGCTGGGCATGTTTAGCCTGAAGAAGAGAAGGCTGAGAGGAGACATAATAGCCATGTATAAATATATGAGAGGAAGTCATAGGGAGGAGGGAGTGAACTTGTTTCCTGCTGCCCTGGAGACTAGGACAGGAAACAATGGCTTCAAACTACAAGAAAGAATCCACCAGTGTTCACATTTGGGCATATTGAGTATTCGTGCCAAGTTTGGTCCAGATCAACCATTGCATGAGTCCACAGTGCTCTCTGGATATAGGTGAACTACAACTCCCAAAGTCAAGGTCAATGCCCAACAAACCCTTCCAGTGTTTTCCATTGGTCATGGGAGCCAAGTTTGGTTCAAATTCATCGCTGGTGGAGTTCAGAATGCTCTTTGATTATAAGTGAACTATAAATCCTAGCAACTACACCTCCCAAATTACAAAATCAATCCTCCCCCAACACCACTAGCATTCACATTTGGGCGTATTGGGTGTTTGTGCCCAGTTTGGCCCAGTGAATGAAAATGCATCCTGCATGTCAGATATTTACATTATGATTTATAACAGTAGTAAAATGACTGTTATAAAGTAGCAACAAAAATAATATTATGGTTGGGGGTCACCACAACATGAGGTACTGTATTAAGGGGTCACGGCATTAGGAAGGTTGAGAAACACTGATCTAGATGATCTCCCCCCTGCTATCCACAATTTAGGTAACGCATGGTCTATGGTTCTTCGACAGCACAGATAATTCTCTTAAGAGCTCTATGGCCATGGTGCTACTAAATCAGTTATGGGCCAACTTGGGCCCTCCAGGTGTTTTGGACTTCAACTCCCACCATTCCTAACAGCCTCAGGCCCTTTCCTTTGCCTCCTCAGCCGCTTAAGCGGCTGAGGGGGGAAAGGAAAAGGCCTGAGGCTGTTAGGAATGGTGGGAGTTGAAGTCCAAAACACCTAAAGGGCCCAAGTTGGCTCATGACTGATCTACACTCTATATTAATGCAGTTTGACACCACTTGAACTGCCATGTTAATTTGAGGAGTTGAAGTTTGGTGCTGCACCAGCACTCTCTGCCAAAGAAGGCCAAAAACCTTGTAAAACTACAACTCCCATAACTCTACAGCTTTGAGCCATAGCAGTTAAAAGTGGCAATAGTTTTACAAGGCCTTTTGCTTTCTCTAAGAGGGCTGGCGCCTCACCAAACTCCAAATTCCCATGACCCCACAGCATTCAGCCATGGGAGTTCAAGTGGTGTCAAACTGCATTCATTCTACAGTGTAGATGCACCTCTTCTCAAAGCTCTGAGGGAGACAAAGCCACAGAAGCAAGCCTGGCTCTCCCTTTGGGAGGGAAGAAGGCAACCAACTCAGAGAGGGAAGAATCCCCGCCTGCTTCTCACCTGGAATGAGGCGGCACCTCGAATCCCCCTTGCAACCAAGGCGACGGCGCTCTCCAGAAAACGGCACTTCCGCCCACACCTCGGCTGCCTTTCCGCCCGCAAAGCTTCCCGCGTGACGCCCACTTCCGCCCTCGCGTGACGTCACTCTCCTACGGGTCCTCCCTATGCTCAGAAAGGGAACGTTTTCCCCACTCGTTGCCAGGCCGTTGCTTGCTGGCTGTAGGGAGTCTGCTTTGAGTTCAATGGGACTTGTCCCTGGAGAAGTCTACAATAGGATTTCCTCTACTGAGTTGTGAACGCTTTAATGGACTCTTAAGTCGCTTCTTCAATTTGTAGATGCCAGAAAATACTATAGAAAGGGTTGGTTTGTGGTGGGAATTTGAAGCATAGTGTATGCCAACGAGGATTGTCCTTTTGTTGTTGTTTATTTGTTCAGTTGCTTCCGACTCTTCATGAACTCATGGACCAGTCCACGCCAGAGCTCCCTGTTGGCCGTCGCCACCCCCAGCTCCTTCAGAGTCAAGTCAAGTCTTGGTTATAGCAAGATGTTTAATCGTTCAGTTGCTTCTGACTCTTCATGAACTCATGGACCAGCCCACGCCAGAGCTCCCTGTTGGCCGTCGCCACCCCCAGCTCCTTCAGAATCAAGTCAAGTCTTGGTTATAGGAAGATATCTAATCAGATATATATTGTTGTTGTTGTTCATTCGTTCAGTCGTCTCCGACTCTTCGTGACCTCATGGACCAGCCCACGCCAGAGCTCCCTGTCGGCCATCACCACCCCCAGCTCCTTCAAGGTCAGTCCAGTCACTTCAAGGATGCCATCCATCCATCTTGCCCTTGGTCGGCCCCTCTTCCTTTCCTTCCACTTTCCCCAGCATCATTGTCTTCTCCAGGCTTTGCTGTCTCCTCATGATGGGGCCAAAGTACTTCAACTTTGTCTCTAGTATCCTTCCCTCCAATGAGCAGTCGGGCTTTATTTCCTGGCGGATGGACTGGTTGGATCTTCTCGCAGTCCAAGGCACTCTCAAAACTTTCCTCCAACACCACAGCTCGAAAGCATATATATATATATAGCCCCCAGTGGCGCAGTGGGTTAAAGCGCTGAGCTGTTGAGCTTGTTGACTGAAAGATCGCAGGTTCGATTCTGGGGAGCGGTGTAACTCTGTCAGCCCTAGCTTCTGCCAACCTAGCAGTTTGAAAACATGCAAATGTGAGTAGATTAATAGGTACCGCTCCGGCGGGAAGGTAACGGCGCTCCATGCAGTCATGCCGGCCTCATGACCTTGGAGGTGTCTCTGGACAATGCCGGCTCTTCGGCTTAGAAATGGAGATGCGCACCACACCCCAGAGTCAGACATGACTGGACTTAATTTCAGGGGACAACCTTTTACTATATATATGGAAGATGCTTTTTTACTATGTATATGGGAGATACAGAATGGGGGATGCCTTGCTTGACAGCAGTACGTGTGAAAAAGATCTTGGAGTCCTTGTGGGAAACAAATGAAACACGAGCCAACAATATCATGTGGTGGTTAAAAAAAACCAGTGGGATTTTTGCCTGCATAAATCAGAGTTGTTTATTCATTCAATCACTTACAACTCTTCATGACCTCATGAACCAGCCCACACCAGAGCTCCCCGTTGGCCGTCGCCATCCCCAGCTCCTTCAGAGTCAAGTCAAGTCTTGCTTATAGCAAGATATCTAATCAAACTATATATGAGATACAGAATGTGGGATATCTGGCTTGACAGCAGTACGTGTGAAAAAAATCTTGGAGTCCTTGTAAGCAACAAATGAAACATGAACCAACAATATCATGTGGTGGCTAAAAAAACCAATGGGATTTTGGCCTGCATAAATCAGAGTTGTTGTTGCTTGTTCATTCAGTCAGTCACTTCTAACTCTTCGTGACCTCATGGACCATTTCACTTCACTTTATTTCTTAATTAGTCACTCTCCACAAAGGTGCTCCAAGCGACTTACAATCTAAAATAGCATTTACACAATATAAAAACATTCAACATATAAACATTCAACAGTGACTATTTGGCAAATTAGATCTGATTACTTAAATGCACGACCAAACAGCCAAGTCTTGAGTGCTTTTACAAAAGGTCGCAACTCTGACATTGCTCTAATGTATGGAGGCAATGAGTTTCACAGAATTGGAGCATAGGTCGAAAAAGCTCTATACCTTGTAGCTTCCAGGTGTACCTCCCTAGGGCCCAGTATATATAGGTGATTTTCCTGGGTGGATCGAGGTGACCACTGATGGAGGAAAGGAATGAGGCGGTACCTAAGATATAAAGGTCCTTGGCCATTTTGAGCTCTAAATGTCAGGATCAGTATCTTGTAAGAGATCCGATGTTCTATTGGTAGCCAATGCAGTTGTTGCAGAATCGGTGTAATATGGGATCTTATAGACCAGCCCACGCCAGAGCTCCCTGTCGGCCGTCGCCACCCCCAACTCCTTCAGAGTCAAGCCATTCACTTCAAGGATACCATCCATCCATCTTGAGTCGCCTAAAGGCTGAGAAGAGCGGTATACAAATAAAATAAATAAATAAATCTTGCCCTTTCCACAGATATATTAACCTCACTTCCCTAGTTTCCAACAAACCTCAGAACCTCTGAGGATGCCTGCCATAGATGGGGGTGAAACGTCAAGAGACAATGCTTCTGGAACATGGCCATATAACCCAGAAAACTCACTGCAACCCAATGATTCTGGCCACGAAAGCCTTTGACAACAGATAATATGATCCTTTTTTTTGCTAGAAAGGATGGATATCAGTGTTTAGTGATGTAATCTTTTCCAGCTTTAGTTTATACTCTCCAACTGTTCCACTTTGGCAAGAAAAATCCAATTTAGTCCTCTGTCCTTATATGTTTTCAGCTGTTTTAAAAGTGTCTCAGTTTTTCTCACCTCCTTTCACTCCTCTCCTTTGTCCTCAGGTTACTTCAATGGCCACAAATGGAGTGCAAATTCCCAAAGCAGTTTACGACCAGCTCAGAAAGAGCAATGGCAAAAGTAAACTGCTGCAGCCACTCCTAGATTTGTATTTATCCATTAACTTTTGATATCTAGACAACATATGCTGGATTATATGTGTCCCAGTTTGCATCTGTGACATGTTGAAGACTATGTTTGTTTTCAGAATGCATCATAAGTACTTTGTTAGTAATTGTTTTTCCTGAATGTTTAACTAGTCTTTGCTGCTATGAGATAGCAATGGCCACATCAACACTGCTATATAATGCAATTGAACTGTGTTATATGGCTGTCTTCACTGCCATATAATACAATTCAAACTGAATTATATGGCAGTGTGGACAGGGCGTATGAGTTCACAGTTTATGTATGGTCCTGGTGAATCCTATGTTTAAGCTTTCTCTTGCCGGCATATAATGGTGCTCCATGCAGTCATGCTGGCCACATAACCTTGGAGGTGTCTATGGACAATGCCAGCTCTTTGGCTTAGAAATGGAGATGAGCACCAACTTCCAAGTCGAATGTGATTAGACTTAACGCCAGGGGAAACCTTTAACTTTTATAAATGGTAGGGATCTAGGAACTAAAGGGTTGCTTTGTGGAGCAGTGCCAATTTGTACTTGAAGCTGGTCATTTTTCATTATGGAAGAGTTATTTGAAGTATAACCCAGAATGATATCATTAAACTGGAGCACTGAACCAATAGCTACAGGGTTTAATTTATCAATGATGATTTGTGTTATACTTAAAAATAACAAGATGCATAAGTACACAACAAACCATAATTGGTTTGGCAGCATCTGAAAAAAAGATGTCAAAGTAGTAGTGGATAATAAATATATGTCATGGCTCAAAGCTTATCCCATTTTTGGTAGGATTAGACTGCAATGACTCATCTATTCTATTTTGATATAGGGCTGGTCACCATAATTCCAGAAGGACAAATCAGAGAGGTGCGTGTACTTCTTTATTTGTGTTATTGAACTATTTTATCTGGCCTTGTATCACTGAACCTCAGGCTGGCGTGCAAGGAAAAGCCATGTAAGCCATTTGAAACAGTGCAGAACTTAAAACAAAAAGGTAATTTAAATTAACATGAAGCATGTTAAACAATTTAACAACTTAAAACAGTTTAAAAAATTAAAGCAGTTTAAAATTGGGCACATGTACATGTTGGAAAAGATACATTTAATAATGTTTTATTTTTTAAGTCAACACCAGCAGTCCTCTGTCCTCCAAGTGAGAGGACATTACACAAACTGTGGCAAAAAAATAGGAACCAAATGTGGTTTCCACAAGTTTTATACTCAGTGAAACAGACACTGAGATTCACACCATTTCTACATTGTACATGCACTAACACAGTTTTTTTTATGCGAATCAGTCTCATATCCCTCGACTGTCCCCATTTAGCAAGGACAGTTAAAATTAATCCTGTGTCATCTCATTTTTTCAGAATCTTTTAAAACGTCCCAGTTTCTTTCTACTTCTCCCTTCCTTCAACTTTCTTCGTTTGCTACAAACCGAATACAACATTGAAAAGTAATTTAGTCTCAGTTCACTCAGCAGGTGGAGAAGAGAGATGTGCGCAGAATCCTGCCCTTCCCTGAAGACTCAGGGAAAGCAAACTATTGCAGTTGATCCTAGCTTGTGTGTTCTTCCTTTTTCTTACCTTTCACTAGCTTGACACAATCTGAAGTTATTCAGCCACATATATCCCATTTTCATCTGAGAAATGTTGAATGCTGTGCAACCTCAGTATTTTTCTATCTATTAATAATATTATTGTAGGTTCTGTCATTTGTGGCTTGATATTAAATGGCTGCGCAAAGATCCAGCAATAGTTTGGTTTATTTATTACTTGTTTATTCTGCCCTTTTCTCTCTAAGCACCTTAAGAAAGGGTTCCTTGACATTTTCTTCATCTTTATGGAAGAGGCTAGGCTCAGATGCAGTCACTGATCCAAGATAATCCTCAGGCACATCTTCATCATGCCTTATCCCAAAAGGAGATGAATGGTCTCCCCCTCTATCTCAACTCTCCTGCCTTGGCCTCAAGGGAGATAAGAAGAGCCAAGCACAATCCCATCGTATTTTGGCCCAAA